AGAATGAAATGGAAGTAGCAGGTGACTCTCTGTTGCACATTTTCTGTAAAAACTGTTCAGCGATGACTGAAGGGCCTCAGCAGGTGGATTCTGTATTCTAAAGCTGCTGCTTCTGGTAGTTTCAGAAGAAAATCTGGAAAAAACTACCTAATGTAAAGATGGAAATGTAAAAGATAGAAATTCAGTGTGTGGCATTGTTTATATATTTGTTTTGATTCCATCTCATTCATCTGCTTGTAAAGACCTGATGTCGTTAACACAAACAACTTCCTATGCATTGTAGGATGTCAGATGTTCTCTCATCGACAGATAAATATTTATACTTTTCTGGTCACCATCATCCTGGGAACTCTGGGTGCTGCTGTAATAAATACTAATGCTTAGAGCTGCTTGAGTGCAAACATGCTGTAGTTGATTATGAGAGTAAAAAGGGGGGAGGGAAATAAAAGCAGCAGATTGGGGAGAAAATACTGAATACAAGCAGCTTTTGTTTATGAGGAAACTTGTGACCTGCTATCATTTTGGCAGTATGAGAGGATCTTTCACTTATTAGAGAACTGCTAGCGTTTGCAGATCTGCACTAAAACCACTTTGCTGATACAGCTGTAACGTGCTAGAAGCACACGGAGTCCACAGTGACAAACTTTGCTTTACTGGCAAAGCTGTACCATATGTGATCTTATGGTGTTACAGAGCCTGGGGAGCAAAGAAGTGCAAAAATATCTTCCCTCCACTATAAGTCAGCTGCAGCTTTTTTTTTCTTTGAAAGGTGACAAGTGATCAACAATTTGGCCAATACAGTTACTAATCTTGTGTGCTTCTCTTCATACAGATTTCCTGACAGTACAGTGGGAGAACGTGTGTGTTTGGGATGGGGGGGATGTGAATTATCTTCCTTCTAAAAAAAAAATTCAGAAGGCTTTATATAATAAAAACAGGGTGTTTGGTATGTCCTAGTGAGGCTTTGTACCGCTCTCTGCCAGGTTACACAGAGCTTGCTTCTCTCTGCTCAGAGTGCTGAAGAGCAGCTGTTTGGAGTCTGCCATCTGCTGCGCTACTCTGCTTTCTCAAAGCTGCTGTAAGCTGTGGCCACAGAGCACAACAGAAAGTCTGTCATCTGTTTTCAGGCCTTTGAAGAAGTGTAGTCATAGTTGAGGCTCTGGACAAGACATGGTCCCTGCCCTTTGGTGCTCTAGGTGCTTCCCCTTTGCCCAGAGAGCTGTTTAGTGGAGATTTCTGAATGTACCCTCTGAAAGGGGAGGAGAGGTGAGGGCATCTGGAACTGGTGAGTTGTTTGCAGCGCTCACTGCAAGTGTGCTGTGCTTCTGCTTCCTGAAGAAACGTGTGTGTATTGTGTCTTTTCTTTCTGGAGGCTGATATGTCAGTAACACTTAGGATTGATCTGACATACATGAACACACTGTGTCTGTGATGGCATGACGGCTGGTCTTTTAATGTGAAATAAATAGAGAACTAAACTGTATTGCAGAAGAGAAGCAAGGTGAACAAGAAGTTCTGTTCTGTAACTCATGTCGAATCTAAACTATGCAAAATATCATAATTGCTTTCTACTTCTGTGTGTAACTTTATTTTGGCCCACTGGTATATATATATCAACAGCAGCTTGGCATATCTCCTTTTAACAGTAGTGTATGTGTCCAGTAGTCCGGAATCTTGCAAGGAGGGGGGTGGCATATGCATTTAAGTGAGTTCTTTATTAGAATAAGTATTGTTTTACTCTTTAACTTACCATTTTTATCTATACTCAAGTTTTTAAAATGGGGCTTGTATTTCACCATGGAGTGGCTGGTTTGTATAGGACCCCCGTGGCCCAGCCGCTGGTGCTGAAGCTACAATGCCTCATCTGCACTGTTAAAACATGCAAAATTATTTGAAAATATTTGTATTGTGGTCAAAACACACCCTTTTGTTGGCAAAGAGATAGCCTGTAGCAAAGAAATTCTGTTTACTACTAGCCTGTGTACACTGAGGCTAGGCAGTTAGTATTGCATGTGTCATAGAAATGGGGCTGACACTTGTTTCTTCTAAGACTCTCTTAAGAGAAGGTAACATTCTTGGCACATAACACACCTCACCAGCTTCCCTCTTTCCGACAGTTGTTTTCCCACTTAGGAAACAGCTACAGTATTTCTTCTCATTCATGAAGATTAAATTATGCTTGGTTCAGCCTGTCAGCAGGGTGTCTTGTGCTTCTTTGAAAGGAAGATTATAACAATAAGTGACATTCTTGTTTTCTTACAGAAAAGATTTGAAGCCTATTATGGTAACTGCAGTGGGCTTCCACTTTTACACTGGTTGCCATAGGTACTGTGTCTGCTTCCAGATACTCTCTAGCCAAGTGAGACCTTGTAGCTCTCAACTAAAGAAGCAGTTCTTACTCTTCTTTAATTATATATTTTGTTAACTCTTGAAGTCTCTGTTTTAGAGGATGAAATTAGAACCAGGAAACATTGAAACTGAATGGAAGACACCATTGCCTTGGAGCTCCATTTACCTGAGCTTGAGTGAAAATACAGGCTTACCAATATGGCAGTAGTAGTATTGAAAGTTTATAAAGTAAATGGCAAATAGCTTTTCTTCAGCACTGAGGTTGAACTAAATAGGTAGGGTCATTTTTTAGGCTTTTATTTTATCTTTTGTCAGTGTGTCAAAATCAACTGCTCAATGTTGTTGCTCGCTGCATAACAAGATCTCAAAAAGCAACCATTTTCTTTGTATAGATTTGCAGAACTGTAGAGGGGGAGGAAATGCATAGGAAGCAAAGCTTAATGAAGTGTATCAGTACTGAAGAATTTCTGAATTTCCTTTCTCTGAATTTCTGTTCAATTTCACTGAACTGGGTGGCAACTGGAAAAAGTTGAAGGATGTGACATAACTCATAAACCGTTTCTTTGTTAGAGCCATCCTGTAAACTGAGGTTTATACTGGACTTGTGAATTATAGCACTTAGTATATTGTCTTTTGTTTAAGCTTCTCTTGATGGACTCAGTTCAGCAAGTCAGAGCTCTGGAAAGTAGACATCTAGTAAGTTTAAAATCAGTATTAAGCCCTATTCTGATGCTGAGCTGGAAACTGAGGCTAGATTTGGTTTTTTCCTCTAGAGTAGCAGAGAAATTCTGAAGATGTTGGAAGCTGTCTCTCACTGTGCATTTAAATGGCTAGCTGTTTCACTTAGTGTTTTTGTCTCTGTTACTGGAGCTGAAACCTACTTTAACTAAAGCCTCTGACTTTCAGCAGCATCAGCTATGAATCTGACATTGTTTGTGTGGCTTGTATTTTCATATTCCTTTCTTTTCCACCTATATAAACAAAAACAGGAAGCAGGATTTTGTTGGGGGGTTGCCATATCCGTTCCAGATTTATTTCTTGCCTGACCTTTTAAAAGGTTGTCTGTTAGTGTCAGAGAGATTACAAGCAGGAATTGTTGCTTTTGAGTAGGAAAGGAACTGACTCCCCTAAACATATTAGCCTTAAAAAGGAAATAAAAAGCCAATTTATGGCTTCCCTTGATGTGATGACTGCAGCTAGCACTGAAAGGACTGCAAACACGTTGCCATGTATTTGAAGTACTGAAATGACTCATTAAAGTAGGCCATTGCTGCTACAGAATGCGTAGCATAAAGCATGCTTCTGTTAGCAGCCTGCTGACTAACACAATGCTTTCTGTTTGCTGCCGCAGGAGGTACTCGCTTATGGCTGTGAGGATATGACAAGGCCTCTCTTTCAGAAACACAATGGCAAAATGCATTTCAGCTTGGTGTCACTGGGCTCTAAAACCTCAGTCTTCCCCTCCTCGCTCAGCTGTATGCACAAAACCAGTCATCTCTGTTGAACATCTGCAGAGGCCAGTTGCTTCCACCATTTCTTACTCTGTAGCCGACCAGTTTCATGCAGGACTTTGTAAATGTTTCCTGACAAAACAAAGTCTTGTCCTTGACATGCTGCAGGTGCCTTAATGTGGTTTTTTTGGTTGTATAATTTGATGCTTTGTGGGTATCGAACACTCCATGAACAATGGATAAAATGCTTTTTATGGACATCCACGCTTATTCTTCATTGTGCTCATAGAAGATGCCTGGAATGTGTGTTATGTACTGTAATTGTTAGTGCCTGCCATGGGAATATAGTGAATATAAAAGTTATTTTCTAGTAGCCCCATTTTAAAGTTGGATAGGGCTTATTTGTTTACAGATTCAAAAGCAGTGTAGCAAGTATGTGCTTCCTATAAAGCACATAGCTTGCATAAAGCATTGAGTAAAGAGGAGAGTGTGTGTAGATCATGTAGCATTATTGTCTTCTAGATGATTACCTGAAAGCTTCAGTGGAATATTTTCTTGGAATCTTTTCTTAGCCTAGTCCCCAGTGCCAAGTCTTTGTACCTTCTTCCTGGATGATTTCTTCGTGGAACTTCCAGTCAGGAGAAGCTGAGTGTTAAAAGGCTGTAGGTTAGTACCAAGCATGACTTCTCTTGTGGACAGAAGGGAACTGGAGTCTGAAGTAACCTTTTTGGAGATTTGCTTGTACCACAGTGCAGAGATCCCGGTACTGTCTGTGGTGAGACAGTTGACTGCAAGCAAGAAATGTTGTGTAGTGAGTAGAAACAAAATGTTTGTGTTCAAAGGCTGTAATTGAAGGTAGCAGTTCCCATCAGAGAGCTCAAGAGAAGGAAGTACCATCTGCAGCTGGAGTGTGAGGCAACAGTTTGGAAATATGATTCATATGCTTCTTCCTCTTTGCATTCTTGAGAAGGCAGTTGTCTAACTGAAGATCTTACTAAAGATTTGTGTGAATAAAAACTGAACACTGTTTCTTCTACTAGTTGCTAATCAAGTTGGAATTATTGATCGTGTGTAATGCTTTCTAATTCTGAGGTCACCAGCCATAAATAGTGAGGTTATAGCTCAATTTAAACTAATGCAGTTTATTTTGCTTTCCCTTCCTTTCCTTACCAGCAGAGGTGTTTCTCCACTTCTTGCAGCATCGCTGATCCATGCAGCAGTTGATGAAGTTCTCCAAACAGACTTGACTGAATTTGAGCAGGAAAGTGTGGAAACAGAGGGAGAAGGAGATGAGGAAAGATTCACCTGTAAGTATACTTTTTTCCTTATGTGGTTTTCCCAGAGGCTGCCTGTTGGAAGACTTCCGTGTTTTGAAATGTTTCCCAGACTATTTGGTTAGGCTGTCTGGCAAGCAGCAGTGAACAGAACTTTATTTGTTCCTGCTGGGTATCTGTGGGTGTTGTAGTTTCTGAAAGGTAGCTGTGCTAGTTTTGTGGGCAAGATGCAAATGTGGTGTCTGGAGCCCTGGACTGATCGTGTAGGTTGGCTTGCTGGAAAGGGAAGAGAATTTCTGTTCCTAAAAATTATTAGTGACTCTGTCCACTGTACTTTCTGAACTGAACTAGTTAAGAACTTTTCCTCATTGAATAATTAAATTGAACTGATTCAGTTCATATCTTAAGTCGATAACCTCTTATATTTCTGAAGTGCCCTTTTCTCTTTGGTAGACTGACCTTAGCTAATTACTCCTATGTTTTGACATTGACATCATCACAGTTGTTATTGTGCAGCCATGCTAACACCTTAAATTAATCCATATAATCCATTTTGCTTTTGTCTGTTCTTGGGAACCAGATTTTGGTACCTGTGGCCCCTCCACAACCTGAACATCTTGAAACTCCAGATCTTTCTCTTGGCAAGTTTCTCAGTAGTCTTTGTCTTTATCAATTATTTATTCTCTCCCCACCCTCCCCCCATAAAGATGGGATGAAGAACCTGCTGCGTGTCTTCTGCCTGATGCCTGCATTTTCCCCTGTCCGAGTGAATTGGAGAGAGGCGAGGCCTTGGTGACCCAGTTCTGAGTTTGAGCCTCCTGTAACAGATGGTCCTATTGCATTTACACATTTACATGCTGAAATGTTTAACATTAGACTTCATCAAACCTTCAGTCCCAATGCCAAGAATTTAAATTGAGCAGGATGCAGGCAGAGTTGAAGATAAAAAATGGAGAAGAGAGATGTCTTAGGCAAACTAGTCTATCCTGTAAGGGGAAATACTCACCCTTCTGTTTCCCTGGGATGACTTAAAAAGCCCCAGAGGATGCATCTCCAAGCAGAGCTCTGATAATGATCAGGATACGACACTTTTCCTGAAGCCTGTTTCGGTATTCACCTACAAGTCTGAAACAGCAGGAGGGAGAACACAATCACAATGTTAGAGTTTGGAAGGGACCTTGAAAGATCATCTAGTCCAATCCCCCTGCCGGAGCAGGAACACCTAGATCAGACCACACAGGAACGCATCCAGGCAGGCTTTGAATGTCTCCAGAGAAGGAGACTCCACAACCTCTCTGGGCAGCCTGTTCCAGTGCTCTGTCACCCTCACCGTAAAGAAGTTTTTTCTCATATTCAAGTGGAACCTCCTGTGTTCCTGTTTGAACCCATTGCCCCTTGTCCTATCACTGGATGTCACAGAGAAGAGCCTGGCTCCATCCTCCTGACACTCACCCTTTACATATTTATAAACATTGATTAGGTCACCCCTCAGTCTCCTCTTTTCCAAGCTAAAGAGGATTAATTTATTAATTAAAGTCTTGCTGCACCCTGAATATTTCATCCCTTGCCTTAATGTTTGTAGCCTTCATACATCTGGAGAGATTTAGCAAGTTTCCAGCACTTTCCATGGGAAGAGTTGGCTTTGTATCAGCTTGACTGGGGTCTGAACCACAGGCCCTGCCTCTTCTCCTCTGGTGCAGGGAGAAATGATTCCGCATTCACAGGGCATGTGAGCAGCAGCATGCAGGACACCACGAAACCTGCTGCCAAGGTAGGAGCGAGCCCCTCTCTCACCCAGCTGGGGCAGCTCGCCCCCTGCCACCAGAGCTGTGGCTGTGCGGAGGCTCAGCCTGGCCGGGCTGGGCTGGGGCTGGAGCCTCCAAGCACATCTGTGTAGAACCAGCTTGCGAGTATGTTCTGCAGGCCTCCAGCAGTTCCCACCGGTGCCTCTTCCAGTCATTGTGAGTTCAGTCTCCCCAGACTGCCTGATTGCTGTGCTCTGTGTCCTCTTGTGTCGGTTGGTCTGTGAGTGATCATGCAGACTTCAGTGCCACTAGCCTAACCTGGAGCAGGACTGCCCGAGATGAGGAGCTGGCAAATAAGAGTTTTGTGTGGCTAGATCACTGCAACTGTAAGATAATAAAGGAGTACAGGCAGCAGTGCTAGAGCATGGCTTTGTTCAGGTTCTTACTACTCCTTGTTGATAAATTTGGGTACTTGCGTTGCCTATTCTCAGCAAGGAATATCTACTTCAAAGGCATTAATTTCTCTGCACTTTTGGACTGTGGTTGTTTTCCCTATCTTGTAATTCCTGTTACATCATTTTAACTGTACAACTAGGAAGAAAAGTGTTCCTTTTGCTACAGCACAGCATGGACTCTCTTCCTGCATTGCAATAATAACTCTCTGCAAAAAAGTATTATTGGAATTAAAGAGAAGGGATTATATAAAACCAAGATGTGAACGTGTGCTGCCTATATGAGTCCCACTGTTCGATGTGGTATACTGCAGAAGAATTTCTGGTGTTAAGATACTAAATTCTGTGCCAGATTTCACAAACTTAATATTTAAACAGCAATGTGCGTCCAAGACTTCTGGCCAGTATTAGTCAAGACATTTACAAAAAAGTAAACTAATAGCTGTAGACAAGGCTGTCTAAGATGCTGTCCTATTTAATTATATTTGTATATGGGATGACTTAATATTTAAAGGTTTTAATATCTTGCCTGTTCACACCTGCATGTTAAGCAAACCAAAAGTAATTTTGTCTAATGTGTAGTGACTGCTAATCAAAGATCGGTGTTTAAATTTAAGCTTTCAATTCTCCAAGCCCAGAGATGCATCTGAAGCTGGTTGTCCAGTGTTGCTGAGAAAAAAGAAATGATTGAGAACCAGGAGTAATAAAAAGGAATTCTGGGGAAGTTTTAATGCTAGCAATGTTATCAGGAGTCAGGATAAAATCGAAATAGGAAAGAGTTCATGCACTGCAGTTCTTTAGGAAACATATTAGTGGCCAGCAAATTATTTTTGCTCTATAGATAATCTTTTCAATCTTTTTTAATTTAGTTGATGTAGTATGGAGGCAGGGTTCCTTCTCAAAAACCACAACTTTAAATTATTACCTGTTCTGAGAGAGACTGTATTGCAAAGCTAGACACAATGTCAAACACCAAATCATTCAGTCTGATGAACAATAAGTTTGGATTAATTGATCTTTGGGACCTATCCAGAAAAGGATTTGAGTGTCTGGCCAGAGCTTTTCACACTATGCTCAATGGGTGTTCCCAATGTTCTGCTCTGCAATGACAAAGCAGGAAAGCGGCGGAAGCGTTCTGTCCCTCTACCTCCTACAACCATGTGTATTTAAAAAGATAAAGACAACAGCTTAAAATTCTAATCTGCTCAGCTCAACTATGAGTTGAGCTATTGACCTCAGCAAAACATTCTCAGACTTACTTGTTATTTCAGTGGAAGTGGTTCAGTAGGAAATAACCTGACCCAAAGCCAGGCTAAGGCTTTTCCACACTTGTGTCCAAGACAACAGCAATCTCTTATCTTGAAGGCTTTTCTGCCTGCTTGATTATTCCTGGTTTGGTTTTTTTTTTTTGGTAAGGATGCACTCCTACCACTATATCTTGTGCATTTTACGTATATAGTAACACCATTTATGTCTAATATGACCATCTGATTTTTGGGTCTTTGTTATGATTTCTGTAATGTGATCACCTACTTGATAACGCTTTGTTTTGAAAGAGAACTAGTAAGCAAAGAAGCTGCTCTTATCCTTAATGTTATGCTGTTTTCCATTGGAACTTTCTCTCCATTATTCTCAGGAGCCTATTTTAATTCTTGCAGAGCCTGTAAAAGCAGAGTGCTGAATGTGTGGATGTAGCTCTAATGAAGAAACTTGAAGGAATGATAGGCCAAAAGAATGGAGTAATGTACGAAAAATGGGGCAAACAACTTATTGTTTTGTCTTTGTGCTGTCAGTGCTGGATGGAGAGGCGTTGCAGCGCTGCTTCTTTAACAAGCTTCGGGATGTTTGCTTTGAGTGGCAGAAGCAGTTGCCACCACTGAGACCACTGAAGCGGTTCCTGCTTGTTTCCATCCACGCCATCCGTAACAGTCGACGGAAAATGGAGGACCGCCACGTTCTGCTCCCAGAGTTTAATCAGCTGTTTGGTTTATCAGTAAGTCTGGACAAAATTGAGGAGGCCAGTTTGTTAGCTTTTCAACATTCCTATAAATGCAATGACCTAGTGATGGACGATCTGTGAAACAGTAAGAATTTGTTGCCACAAGTTATTTATCGTGTCTCTGCTGAAGAAAGGACTTACTGACTCAGATTGCTAGGGGCTAACTACTGCCCTGATAAAGAAGGATCTTATGACTTTGGGTTTCATGTCATAAGTGATATAGGGAGACAGCAAGTTAACCTAGTGTTATGTTGCTGGAGTTATAATGTTCTTGTGACTGAGGTAACTGATATACTAAGAAAAGAAGGGAGGAGAACAGCAGCTGAACAAGGACAAGTGCCAATTAATGAAGCTGCAGTGGGACTACATAACCAACTGTCTGCTGTTTCAACTCCAGATTATTTTCAAGGGTATTAAATGACTAACAGCAAACAAAGAAAAGCAATTCCCCTGCAAAGTGCCCATTTTATCCATTTTGCACATGGGTAAACCAAATTACCGTTATCTATGCAATGTTGTATGTTAAGAAAGCCCAGAATAAAGAATCTTTGCTTGCTGGTACTGGCCTGTGAGCTATTTTGTTTCTGAACATTTACGTGTCTTCCTCTCTCTCCCTCCCCGCAAAAGGATGACGTTGATCGCGCTTACTTTGCGGTATTTGATGGCCATGGTGGAGTGGATGCTGCCAATTATTCAGCAACCCATTTGCATGTAAATGTTGGGCTGCACAAAGATATTGTTAAGAATCCAGCTGAGGCCTTGAAATGCTCTTTCCAGAAGACAGATGAAATGTTTCTTTTCAAAGCCAAAAGAGAGGTGAGTGGGTAGAGATTAGTTCTGTTGTATTTAAATAAGTGAGAACTGTTGGACAACATGGTATTATCCAGAAAATTCTGGCAGTACAGTTTCTTTCAATCACTGACATCTTTATGAAATTATGCTACATGTAAAGGTTTTTGATCAAATTATTTCTTTTTTTGGGGAAAAACAAAATGACGGTGCTTGAAAGTTCAAGATGAATGATTTGAGAAGAAGTGTTAAGTGGTTTAAATGATCCTGACATACCAATTATTTGAGAGAATTCTTTACTGCCTCTCTGCCTAAATTAGGCAGCCTCTAGATGTTCTGTTGTCTTACCTCTTGCCTGTAAAAGAGGTTTCTCTCTTCTTGATAATACAGTCAGTCTTCTTCTTTCTTGTCCCACCATTAATGTCACAATTGGTTGTAAGATGAAAAATGTATTTTATTATTTAAATCAGACTCTTCAGTTAATTAAGCTTATTGATCAGCTTTGAATCAAGTTGATGTGATGAACATTCTTTCTTCAAATCTACATAATGTGAGGATGGTTTACTATAATAGTTTATTTGAGCACTCTTTTGTTCCAGCAGTAACTTAATATGATTCATCGTTAATATCTTCATTTCTGTCAGTGAGATACAAAAGAGAGACTGGCATCTTCATGAGGTCTGACTCTCACTAATCTTTACAGGGAATTTGGGACACTTAAGTTCCTTCCTTTGTTGACATCCTTATTTAAATACCCAAGGATAAGGGGATGTATGCAGAGCAAGGTGTCTATAGTTTCTAGTGGTAGAGAAATGTGAAAGGGATTGAGGAGACTTTTGTGTTTGTTTGTGAAATGTTCATACTGCTGAAATTTAGATCCTCTTGCTTTTCTGTGTGTCTCTGTAGGCCTCAGTCTCCTAGATCAGTTTAGGAATGAATAGCAGAGAAGGAAGAACATAACAGAGGCAGTATTAGCCATCTGCATGTTGGAATATGTAAATAGGTTATTTCAAATCTGTCTTATATCTTGCACCTGAATGATGATTGTCATGTCTACTGTGTTGCACTTAAATGTGATTAAACCTAGATTTACAATATAGCCATGTAACGTAGTAGGGCTTGCTGAATATTCACCTAACGTATCTACTTTCTTCTACAGAAGCTGCGGAGTGGTACAACAGGTGTATCTGCATTGATTGTAGGGAACAAGCTACACATAGCATGGCTAGGGGACTCACAGGTAATGCTTGTGCAGCGAGGAAAAGCTGTGACATTAATGGAACCTCACAAACCAGAAAGAGAAGTGAGTCTGACTTGTTTTTTTTTCTCTTGTGTGTGTTGTCAAAATCTTGAAACCTTTTGGAATCAAGCCTTCTTAAGTGTTTGGTGCTTTACATAATTATTTCTATTGTATGGTAGTAATCAGAATTGACAATTTATTTTTTTTCCATCAACTCCTGTGTCTTGAAAAGGTGATCCCTACAACAGTGCCCCTGTGAAAGTATTTATGATACTGGTAGTCCTGACTTCAGTTCCTGCTCAGACTGTCAAAATTTGTAGTAATTAAAGACTTCATGGGATGTTTTTGTGTGTGAATTTAATGCTACCTGTTAAATGAACTTATTAATTTGAGATTAATAGCTATTTAAAATGTTAGCATAATGCAAGTCTTTCATAATATACTGTCATTCAAAAGCTACTGATAATCTACTGGTCTAACTGGCTTAAAGTATCATCTTGCATTTTCTATGTATTTTAAGGAGACAGGTATTTTTTTCCATAGAATTTGGTGGGGATCTTGCGAGTTTAGGTAGCATTGCATGACCCTTTGCCTTCATAGCATGAATATTTGTAATAACTGAAGTACTTAAAGGAGTATCAATGCAAATGCTGTTGTTACATAGTCTAGTGGTCTTGTATTTTATTCCAAATATTTATATATTTACCAATTGCTGTATGGGATGGGAAGAACTGGCAGGAAGGGTACTCATCCATATGGGAAAGAACATGATTATAACAAAACTTAAGAACTCTGCTTTTTCTGGACAAAAGCCATGGTATGGTTGGGAGGTAGGCAAATTGTTTCTAGTCATCTTAAGTACATGTGTCTGAGCTAGATTCTGATATGTGTGATTGCTATATTCATAGTATAAATACAGAAGGTGAAGCAGCTCTTAGTTTTGGGTTTTGTTGCTTTTTTTTCCTCTTTGATAGGATAATGACAAGGTCAGTAGGCTTTTAGTACAAAAATTGTATTCTGCTGTTTTTCAGGATGAGAGGGCACGTATTGAGACTCTGGGTGGTTGTGTAACCTATATGGACTGCTGGCGGGTTAATGGTACCTTGGCTGTTTCCAGAGCAATTGGTAAGATAAACCATCAGAATTAGTATAGTTCAGATTAAATTTGATTAAAGCACTCCATCTGAGACTGTACGTTTACTGTAGATGATGCTTTGCTCAGCATTGACCAAATAGTAAACCACTCTTACTGTCTTTGCCATAAGGCTAGCTTACAGGTGTATAACTTGTATAGCTTGCAGCTATATAATCTTACTGGTTTTATGAAAAACGTAGCATAGAATATTGTTTTATTTTACATACTATCCATGACAGTCCTAATAAGTGTTCCTGTAGCCTTCTTCATGTGTCTGAATGTCTGCTTTGTGTTTTTTTGGTCTGCTTTAATATTAATATATCTTTCTCCTGACTGCAGTTCTTAAGTCAGATCACCGCATCCTCTTTCAAATTACACATATCTAGTAATTTAGGGCATTTGAATTGTTGTATTCCAGAATCTTACTAAACAAGCTTATTTTGATACTTGCCTAATTGGGCAAAAAGAGAAAAGACCTTGGGGGTGAGTACAGTAGATAACTGTAATGTATGAGTGGAAACAAATCAGTATAAATTTGTATAATACTGTTTGGATCAATAGCAACCCATGGTTAATAAGTATCTCCATGTGAAACTGTTGAAGTAAACACAATGAGCAGACTCTTATGGCTTTGTGCTATATACCTGGATAGCTAAGAAAAAGCTTATTTTCATAGCATTCTGAAGGCTTTACAAGAGCCGTACCTGCAAAATGAAGGCCTATCTCCTTGCACAAATATATTTCAGAAAGAAAAAACATCGAAACAATTTCCTTGGTTTCCCTGCAAAATTAGGAAAGCATGAATTAGAGTAACTCCTTAGAAACCCACAGTATTTAGGTAGGTTCAAAGTGTTCTTAAAGGAACAAAGGCCTTCTGTGTTTATTCCATAGCTTTTCACTGTTATCCTGCGTCGGGTACCTCTGGAATATTATCTGACTATCCTTGAAGATGGTAAAAGCAACTGGTGGGTGAAGAAGTAACTTTACATTTGAAATAATAAAGCCTTTGTTTTGATTGTTTATCTTAGGTGACGTATGTCAGAAACCCTACATCTCTGGTGATGCAGATGGAGATACATTTGAGCTGACTGGTTCTGAAGATTACTTGCTCCTAGCCTGCGATGGATTCTTTGATGCTATCAAGCCATATGAGGTTGTAGACTTGGTCCTAGATCATTTAATGCAAACCAAAGGAGTAGGGCTCAAAGCAGCAGAAAGACTGGTGGCTGCTGCAAAGGAAAATGGATCCAGTGATAACATCACAGTTCTAGTGGTGTTCTTGAGGGATCCTCAGGACATCTTGGCAGACTGTCTCAGAGACCCTAAGAGCCTTGGGGCTGGTGATGATCCGCAACGCTCACCCTTTAATTTCCTCGGCTGTGAGGCAGCAGCCACACAGTGACATCTGCTTAATCCAGAATGTTCAAATAAGTTCACATAAGGAACTGCTTTCCACTGAAGAAGCCTCTAATACAATAGGCAAAACTTGTCAGGAAAAAAATGACAAATGGGCAAACATTTGACAGAAGGGCAAGACTCCTTTTACTGAGTTCCCATTTGTCTTTTCCTTCCTTCCCCCCTCCCTTCAAAAAACACTGGGCAGACGTCAAGATTTGTACAGCTATTTAATCTCTGGGAGCAGATTTCTAAGTGTGTCCCAGGGCTGCTGGTCATATCCTTCTACCCTGGAAGAAGTGGTAAGAAACCATAATATGTATAAGCTAATGGGTGAGAATATCTGTTTGTGAATTCTGAGTGAAAATTTAAGTTGGCGCTTAAGAAGAATGCTGTATGTTGTATTTAATGGTGATGTTACTTTGGAGATTGGGAGGAGAGAAGCTGTCACCGTCACTGAAAAGCTTGTTACTGTGTGTGGTCTGTAGGAACAGGCTTGGTGTGCAAGAGACTGAGTGACACCTTTATGCTGTGTAAATTGCTTTTTTTTGGTACCAAAGATGATATTACAAGAATGATGCGGCCTCTTTATTCAAACAGAGACATTTAATTTTGTGTGTATGGAGAGGAGAAAATGAAACAATGCTCCAGAAAAAGAGCAAGCAAGCTAACTAGAAATATCCCAGGCAAAATGATAAAAAAATCAGGTGCTTTCTGGGATGCTCTGGTTTATAAACTGGAATCTAATATTTAACTGCACTGGATTATTTCTCCCTAACAAACACACTTTATTGGCTATTTGACAAACAGAAAAGAAAGGACCCTTGCTGTTGTATTTGAGAGAGATCTTTACAGTATGTATGCTCTAGCAGTTAAATATGCTCTGTTTATGCCACTTTTTTGTGTACTATGACAAATGAGAATTTTATTTTTATTCTAAGTGTTTATTTGTTTATTTACTGAACTTTACAGTTGGAGGCATTTTTTGCAGTGTTACTTTGTTTTGGTGTGGTTTTTATTTAAATTAGAATTTAAAAGTGGCTATGTCTTTATTAGCTGGTTTTAAAAACTGACTACCCTCAAGTGCCTTAAATATTTCACCCAAGGATTGCTGGCTTCCTATCATATTCTAATGAGCCAGTTTATAGTGTTTTTAAAATGTGACTTTTAATACTAATATTTAATGCACTTAAATGTTTAATTTTTGTGAATTATTTTAGTGGGAACTAGGTTTCAAAAAACATCTCTTTCATCGTTGCCAAATGTGGCTTGTAATAAAAGCTTCACAATACTTACTGTGACTTACCCCCTGCCCCATGCAAAAAGCTGTCGTTAATCATAAAGTAACAATCTGAGTCATCATGGATTTCATTTAAGAACAAATGCACTTCTGACCTTCACAAGAAAATTTAGTAACACAAACTAGAAACAGTTTAGTAACAGTTTTTGATTAGTACATGGTTAATTTGGCCATACTTCATGAACTTTTTGGGTCTAAATAAGTTTCTAAGGAGATGTGAAGCTAAGGTGAGGATGAAAGAATCTTAATGAATGTGTTGTTGTGCAGCTATTATATCCATTACATGCTGGAGCCTCTGGTCGTGTTTTGTCTTGCCTTGTTAGCCTGGCTAGCAGGACTCAACAAGATCTGAAGGCTCAATGGTAAATGTGTTAGTAATTTCTGTATCTAAACAAGAAGTGCTTACATCTGGCAGCAAGATTGTATGCCTAATTTTAGAAGCACATGGCATTGCAATATGTCAGTCCTGTTGATTAAAATGTGTTGAACATCAGTGTTGCATGGGGAGGAAATTTAGGTGGAAGAGTTGAGATGGCTAAAAGGAAGAACAGAGCAGCACTGTTTATGTCCATATTGTCTTTGAATTGTTAGCTAGCACGGGGCAATGAGGTTACCTGAGTGACCTGAGTTTTTTGCTGGATTACTAGGGATGATCGTATGGTTTAACATAGAAACTCCTCAGTGAGCTGCCATCTCACTGCATAGCAACTCGGACAGCGACTTCCTTGTTCTGCTATGCAACAACAGGCACTTTTCCTCTGAGAAGGCTGCAAGCACTTTTCCATCCTAGATTTTGCTGTCCTAAAATATGTGAGGAAGGCTTTCTGTGATGGCAGCCTGGTAGGGTAGGTGTTCATTTCTGGAGTGAACCTACTTCAGTTAAGGAAGCCTTTAGACTTGTGTAGTAATCCCTTTGGATTTGCCATCTCCTGTCTCTTTGATTTCTAACCCAGATATTCAGTGTCATGCCACATTCTGATGACCACTAGTGCCTCTTGGTGTCTTGGAAATAGTTCTCATTATTAATATAGTAAGAATCATACAGAATTATTTGATGTCACTGCTATCTGAGGTTTATCAGGAGAGAAGGAAGCTAGTGTATTCATGCAGGGAGGTGTGAAATGTTGGTAAATTAATAGTACGGTTTAGTTTCTGAAATTTGCCAAATTTACTGAAACGTGGAGGGAACTGAACAAGCTGAATTCTTTGTAATGACCCTTTTATTTCAATCTTTTTGGGGCAGATTTGCATTACAGAGGAAACAGTCTAAAGTCTTTTGATGGATACTTACAGCTATGTGAGAATATCCTTTTAGTTTCAGATTTGATATATTTCTTTTTTTTTAATGGGAGCTAAGTGAAATGGGCCTTTAGAAGGCTTCCTGTGGTAATAAAAAAAAATTTAATTGTCAAGCTATGCTTTAGGGAAGAAATTCTGCATCCTGAGAAGCTGTTCCTTTATACAGGTGTTTTCATTCTGAATGACCTACTGCCTCATTTCTTTGAGATGTAAGTGGGTAGAAATAGTCTTTGGGAACTCATATAGATATCAGCAGGGATAAAAATTATTTCTCTAATTTTCAGAGACTTCTTAATAGCTTTAAAAAGTCTGGTCAGGTCTATAGGAGTTGTAACTGGGTCAAAAATGGCAGTTTGTATCCTATCAGTGGAATAAATACACAAGTCGTAATGTGTCATCTACAGTAAAATTCCAAATACTGTTTGGGGGAAAAATGGGTTTTGGAGATGACTTATCTATTCTTGACAGCCTGATCGAAACCTGTAGATTTTTTTTTTTTAATTTTTGTTTTAACTGAAAAATCAACATTTCAATTTGATGTTAAACCAGTGATGAAAGTATGACCCAGGATGCAAGTATGGATTTTGCAAGTGCACTTTTAAAGTTCTGTTGAAAATGGTCATCAGGATGGTCTTATCCTTGGGATGGCAAGGCAACCTCCAATTTTTGTTTCACTTGTGACTTTGATATTAATTTTAGAAGCCACCAGCTGTAATACATAACGCTGTTACAAGAAGTGTCACTAGTATGGGTGGTAAGGAGAGAGGGGGAAGAAGCTCTAGCAGGAGGTATTAAGTTGAACTAAATAGTCCAAAATATGGACTGGTGCTATGTTTTGAATTCACAGTACTAATCTGCTATGTTAGCTTTTCTTCTTTTTCCTCTTAAAACTTTGTAGATTTCTGGTGTTGGCTGTGCTGTTCTCTTTTACTTCCCTCCTTTGGTTAAAAATAGTATGTAATTTGGGTGAGAGAATGTTCTCACCTCTCTGGGCCTTCCCAGTGTCATCTGCAGTATACTAACACTTGTCCACCAATCTCAGATTGTCTAACGACAAATTCACTAATTTGCCTCTTTCCTTGTTGTCTTTCTGACGGGCCTGCAACAAAAGCTATTCTTGAGCCTAGCCAAAATCTTGGAAGCTGTAGAAGTTAGCTGAAGGATTCAAGTGAAATGTTCAATGAAAGTATTTTCATATTTTACTAGACTCCAAAAGAATGTCTGCTGCTGCATTTTAGTACCCAGCATCAAAAAAACTGTTCCTTAAAGGAGCCTGCATTTTTAAAACAGGGCATGCTTAAATTCTTGTATTGTGCTTGATTGAAAAATAGCTTTAGTCATTCTGCTTAGTGAGTATCCAGCATCTCTTTTGCTTATAGGTAATTCATACTTCTACCTTCCCTTCCTTTCTGTTTTCTTCCCTACCCCACCCTCTCCTTCAAAGAAACATACCTAAGACAGTGAAGTCTTCTGGGTCTCTCACAGGCAAAATTACAATTTTACAAATTACATTTTTTGAGGGGTTGGTTTTAGGCTTTTTTTTTTTTGAGAATACAGAGGGTAGAAATGCAGGAAAATTTTCAGAACAGAGGGAGATGAAGTAAAATCCACCCTCTGAGTGATGGAGGAGTGAAAGAGAGAGACAGGAATGCATTTAAGTATTATTAATGCCTATTTTAAAAAGGAAGTGGGCTGGAAAATAGAGCTACAAATGTCAGTTCTTTCGAGTGAAATACCACTGCTTGAAAAAATTAGAAACACCCATTAAAAAGGTAAAACTCAGATGTGGTAACTCTGTCTTCAAACAGCCAGGGAAGAAATCACAGTAAAAGCATCTGGGGTGACTTGCTGTGACCCTTCAACACTGTCTTGGAAGCTAATGCTACTAAATGGATTTTTCTAAACATCCTTAGGTGTAAAGTAGCGCTAAGAGGGAGCATTCAGGATACGCAGTTACTGGTCACTGTGCGACTGCTGCTGTGAGTAAATGCCACAAAGTGTGTTAATGAATCAATACGGCTGGTGAGGTCTCAAGATGAGTAATTGGGCATGGAGTGGTTACAGCAGAGTTGGCAGCTGAATAGTGTTAATCACAGTGATGACTTTAATAGCATTTAATAGACACTTATCTGAATTCAAAGTCAGATGAGATACTGCTCTTTTTAAAAGCATTTCCAGTGCTATTAGCTTTCTGCCATGAGAAGCCACTAAAATTTTTTTTTTGGATGTTGGAAATAGTGCTTCTCTTGCTTTCTGAATTCTGGAGATAAGTTGACTGTCTGCTCTGGAAAACTAATTTCCAGTTGATAGCTTAAAGCAGCTGTTTGGGGTTGAAACTTCCCTCCCCGGCAATCCTTTAACAAAAAGGTGCTTCCAAAACAAGTGGCTCAGGCGCATAGGGGGTTCCA